GTTTTTCATCCCACTATAACGATGACACACATTTTTGGACTGACTTGTTGGCACACTTGCTTGCACATGTCATTACAATACAATATGATTTCATTCACCTACACTTCTACTTCAATTGGGAAACTAAAATGCCAATGGGGGTGTTTCAAACCTTCGAGACTGCCCTTTTGAGGGTTATACGCGTGGACTCAGACCAGCCAAGACCTCACAACTGGTTGTTTTCGTGATTCTGTACAAGAGATTGAGGCAAGATAGTTCGTGCTCCACACTTATCTCGGTATGGGTGTTCACGAATGAAGCATGATGGAATATGGATTAAACCTAATAAATGTGTCCCACCTTGAGATCCCGTACGTAATTGACAGTTGAACAAATATCGGATTGTATAGTATAGTACAAATGCTATTTGTTGTCATGGATTAAATATGGTGGTGGTTTAGTGATCAGTAGATCATCGACAATAGAGAGAGGTGCTATCGTCTAACCATAAGAAAAATTTTAAATCACGATTTATTAACAGCTCAATTTTCTAGCCAGTTTTCCATTGTCGTTCATTCTTGTCTCCCGCTCATTTATGGGCATGCAATCCCTCTTCATCCATCCAAACTGTTCTCGCACAACAGGGACAAGAATGCAGCATACGGATCATCTCTAACCCCATGTCTCAGTCTGCATCCAGTCCTCATGATGGACAGGACTCAGCCGATTCAATCGCACATGAGCCTCATTCAACCGGAACAGCTTTACAAACTTCGCATTCTTGGGCGCCTTGTCATCCCCCGGATGGTACTCAAGCTCCTCCGTACGATAGCAGTCGGATGGGAAGCGCCAGTGCATCAATGTGTCGTAAACAACGCAATCTGATGCTGGGCTGGACCGGAGGTTCAAATGCTGACGGAGATGTGAATCTGTCTCGGGATGGTCACCACCACGAGGTCAGTCGAGATCCGAGTGAATGGTCTCAACCGATCGGACCATATCCATCCCCGTGGATGATGATGATGATGCCCCCAGTGTTGCCTCCACCGAATCAGCCTGCACCACCAATCCCTTACGGTCACTTTCGACCGCAAGACGCCGCCTACTATTGGGAAGCAGTGATGTATCGTAGTTGGGTTCGACCGCGATCCGGTTGGAAATTCCCTCAGCCTGAGTCCGATGCAACTGGAACCTCAAATCGGGCTGGAAATCAACCGGCTCAACAGGATACCCCACTATGGAATGTGCGCACGCGACATTCACTTGGCAATACTGCCACCGCTGCTGGCACTCCGAGGACCCCGGGGGATTTCAGAGAGACCAGTACTCAACGAGCCGGTCAGTGGGACTATGCACGCGCAGCTCACATGCTAAAGACTCTGAGAGAATCCAGGGAGCACACATTCAATCGGAATTCTGAAAGAACTGAGCAACAACAGCCGATTGCTGCCCCGTTCCCACCAGTTCGCACGACCAGTCGAACAGTGGACAGTCAGACGCTGGAGGCGGATAAAGCTAAACGAAAATTGTCCTTAGATGCCAATCCGAGACCTCTCAGTCTCCCACAGGTAAGTCGTGATTGATTGATTGATGGATTCGTGTGCTGCTGGTGAAACTCAACGCGGTAGAAAGCGTGGTACAATGGGTCTTGACTGTTAACTTCTTTTTGTTTGAGCTTTATACGACCATTAACATTGATGAATGCTGAGGTATTACCTTACCGGATAAGTTATATTACTGGTAAGAAACCAAAGTAACAGGCCAGTGATGGTTAGTTGTGTGTGTTTCAAATGTGTGTGTGTGCATAAGGAACAGGGATGTCTGTTCTGTTTCTCTAATCAGATCCGGTCAGTGCAGGGACAGTCTGACTGCACTTAGACTAAGTTTGGATACCAATTAGTGGCTTTTTTTAAAAAGATCTTTTTATTCTTTTTTATATAAGGATGCACAGGCAGGAAAAATTGCTTATCAACCATGATCCATTGGTGGCCCAGGTGCAGCCGCTTGAGGTGTCGCTTATGAAATCCATTGCAGCATCATGCTACGGAGAGGTAAGCAATAGCTCAAGCGTTGAGCACGCATGATTCACCGGGATCAGCGGAGGGGGACAAACACACAGACACACAGACACACACACACACACAGAGACGCGTACGCATACTTACAGGATGAACAACCAATATGTATGTCGTGTGAACTGAGGTGTGTGTGTGTGACAGAATTTGTGTGTTTGGAATAGCTTTGTGGTGCGTGGGATTGTCCGAATGAATCGGATAGCGGTTTCGATGGTCCTTAACGCGTGTGGTGGTGGCCCGGTGATCACATCACCAAATTATCACCCAGATGGAATGTGTGTGTTCGAAT